TCTATTCCAGATGGTTATCTGGGCTTGATGGGAGGGATGCACATGATCATAGAAAGTATGATCATAGAATGGAATTCTGGGAACAGAATAGCCGTGTTGGAAGGGACATTGTAGGTCATCTAGTCCAGCCCCCCACCCACCCAAGCAGGAAACCATTTCTGACAGAGGGCAGTCCTGTCTCTTCTTGAAAGCCTCCAGGGATGAAGCTCCCACAACTTCCAAAGGCAACTTCTGTTCCATGGGTTGATTGGTCTCCCCATCAGTAAATTGATCCTAGAGTTCTAGGTTGCTCCTCTGCCACATTAGACCCTTGATGGTACAGTTACAGTAGTAGAGTTAGAAGGGACCTCAGAGGTCATCTAATCCAACCCCCTGCTCTTGCAGGAGACCTCCGGTCTCTTCTTGAAAATCTCCAGTGTTGGGACACTTCTGCGGGCAAGCTGTTCCACTAGTTAAAAGAAATACAGAATAATATTTGGAAGGGACCTTGGAGGTCTTCTAGTCCAACCCCCTGCTCAAGGAGGAGACCCTATACCATTTCAAACAGGTGACTGTCCAGTCTTCAAAACAACTTCTGGTGGCAAATTGTTCCACTGGCTAACGGTCCCGTCAGGAAGTTTCTCCTGAATTCCAAGTTGCTTCTCTCCTTGGATTAGTTTCCACCCATTGTTTCTTGTCCTGCCTTTTGGTGCTTTGGAGAATAATTTAAGAGCAGAATAGGAGCTGGAAGGGGACTTTGGAGGTCTTCTAGTCCAGCCTCCCGCTCAAGCAGGATAATCTATACGATTTCAGATAAGTGAGTGTCTAGTTTCTTCTTGCAAACCTCCAGCGATAAGAGTGACCATGATTTCTGGTGGCAAGCTGTTCCCACTGGTTAACTCTCCTGTCTGGAAGGTTCTCCTTACTTCCATCTTGCTTCTCTCCTGGATTAGTTTCCATCCATTGTTTGTTCTCCTGCCTTTCGGAGCTTTGGAAAATAAGTGGAGCCCCTCCTGTCGGTTGCAGAAGACTCAGCATTCCCAGCCTCCCATCCCCCTCTCCAACCCATGGTCTCCAACCAGCTGCCTGCGAGGACTGAGGGAGCCCCCTCTGTGGCCCTTTCGGGGATCCCAGCCGCCCCGGGATTTGTCTTAGGGTGCCCCCCTTCCCCCAGCCACGTAGTTAAGGAAAAGCTGTTGGCTCAAGCTCATCCCTGGATGGGAGACCACCAGGAGATCCCACCGCTGCTGCAGGAAAGACCCCTAGGCACACGTGGGTTGACACAAGGGGGGGGGAGAAATCCCAGGTCCTTTTTGGGAACCTGGGGGGGTCTTCCGTGACCCCCGAGGCTCAGCCATTCTCAGCCTCCCATCTGCCCCCCCCAACCCAAGGTCTTCAACCAGGCACACGCAAGGGCTGGGGGGGGGCTTTTGGGGAGCCCAGGCCTCGTCTTAGGGTGCCCCCTCCCCCCAGTTAGGGAAAAGACCCTGCTAGCTCAACCTCATCCCTGGATGGGAGACCACTAAGAGATCCCACCGCTGCTGCAGGGAAGACCCCCTAGGCGCACGTGGTTTGACGCAAACGGGGGGGGGGGGAGAATCCCAGGTCCTTTTTGAGAACTGGGGGTCTTCCGCGACCCCCGAGGCTCAGCCATTCCAAGCCTCCCATTCGCCCCCCCCCAACCGTCCCCCAACCCATGGTCTCCAACCGGGCGCCCTTGAGGGCTGGGGGGGGGGGCTTTTGGGGAGCCCAGCTGCCCCAGGCTTCGTCTTAGGGTGCCCCCTCCCCCCAGTTAGGGAACAGACCCTGCTAGCTCAAGCTCATCCCTGGATGGGAGACCACTAAGAGATCCCACCGAGGCTCAGCCATTCCCAGCCTCCCATGCACACACCCCCCGCCCCCCAACCCATGGTCTTCAACCGGGCGCCCGCGAGGACTGGGGGACCCTTTTGGGGAGCCCCGCCTTGGCCCTAGGGTCCCCCTCCCGCCCCCTCCAAGACCCCCGAGCGGCGCCTCACCTGCGCGGCTGAAGCGGAAGGCGCGGAGGAAGGCCAGGCAGTCGTGCAGGCCGGCGCCCAGGGCGAAGGCGCCCTGGAAGGGGCAGCGGCGGAAGAAGAGCTCGAAGGCGGCTGGCTGGCGGTGTCTCCCTGCCCGCCAGTAGCCGTAGGCCATGGTGAACTGGTAGAGGTCGGTCAGCAGCACCAGCGAGCCCCGCCCGCCCTCCATGCCCACC